AGTTTGTAAGACACAAGAACAAGAGAGCTGCATAGAGAGAGGAGTCTGGATTTATGTAGAAAGTCCCACTCAAATATTTAGCTGAGTACAAATAAGGGAATACATGTGATGAACTTAATCAAGGCTAGCAAAAAAAAAAAAAAATTAGCTCTGAAAGTACTAGAAGGAAGAATGTCTGTAGTTGCATAGGGTTATGAATAATTCCTATACCTAAAGCCAGAGTGGAAAATTCATAAATCAATGGGCAATGATTTGAGTATAAACTGTCTTTCCTAAATAGCAGGAAGGGGGTAATTTAACCCTAGAACCCTACAACAAATGTAGCTTTGGTTCCACCTAACAAAGTTTAAAGGTTAGACCAAACAGGTCAAAATGTTTCTAGGTATATGATCTTATCCTAGGAAAGAAGTTCTATAATTTGTATAATATTAATTTTAAAACTCCAACAGGCAATGTATAAAATTCACAATGCCTGACATTCAAACAAAAATTATCAGGCATGAAGAGATGCAAGAAAATAGAACACATATTAATCAATATTGATCCAGAAATGACACAATGAAGGTGGATTAGTAGATAAGGTCATTAAAATAATTATCATAGTAATACTCCATATGTTCAACAAACTAAATAAAATATCGAATAAGTAGAGACATAGAAGATATTAAAAAGACTCAAAAATCACACTCGTAGAGATAAAACCTAAAAAAATACGCTGGATGGGATTAACAGCAGATTAGACATAGAGTTCTTTGAATTTTTAAAATAAAAATAAATCAAACTCTAAGTCATTCTATCTGCAATGGCAAACATATTTTTAAAATTCCATGCCACATAGGGCACCTGGGTGGCTCAGTCATTGGGCGTCTGCCTTTGGCTCAGGTCATGATCCCAGGGTCCTGGGATCGAACCCCACATTGGGCTCCCTGCTCGGCAGGAAGCCTGCTTCTCCCTCTCCCGCTCCCCCTGCTTGTGTTCCCTCTCTCGCTGTCTCTCTCTGTCAAATAAATAAATAAAATCTTAAAAAAAAAAATTCCATGCCACATAAAGAAAAGCTATACAATGTAAAAAAAAAAAAAAAATAGTGTGGACTTAAAATGAAGGCACAATACCATAGTATGAAAAAGTGTTTTATAAATGGACACAATTTTCACCATGCAGGAAAACTAAAGAGCTGTCCTTATTACACTAAACAGATAATTTTCCATACTTAAATCACTCTGTGGTAGCCACTGTAGAAAGTAGTAGACTTTTAAAAAATTATTTTATACTGTACTTAAGTATACTGGAATTGAGAAGAAAAAATAAAGACAAGCACGAGGAGGATTTTGAATTTCAGAACCGTATATATGTACACTTTTATAGGCAAATGGGAAAAATCAAGTTAATATAATCCATACAGATACTAGAATTATTAGTCATTGTAAAATAAGAATAAATAATAAATGTCAAAAATGGACTTAGTAGCATGTAAGAAATTTTATTTGCCCATTTAACAAGATCCACTATGGAACTCTTCAGTATTTATGACTGCAGAATGCATGCTATGTCCCAGTTGTTAAAGAAATATGCCAGTTGCTGCAAAGATAAGATTGATATGAATGGTATTTTTTTAAATAGTTAAGAATCCTTTAAAATCCACTATTTCCGGGTGCCTGAGTGGCTCAGTCGTTAAGTGTCTGCCTTTGGCTCAGGTCATGATCCCGGGGTCCTGGGATCGAGTCCACACTGGGCTCCTCGCTTGGCAGGAAGCCTGCTTTCCCTCTCCCTCTCCCTGCTCTCGCTATCTCTGTCTCTGTCAAATAAATAAAATCTTAAAAAAAAAAAGAAATCCACTATTTCCATATGATTTAGCTTCAAATAAGCTGCACTAAAAACTGAAATGTGAATGAAAAAATATTTTGAATATTTTGAATATTTTGTGCCAATCCTGGACTAACCCCTTATTGGCTCATGTCCCACAAGAGGGACCTGAGGGAGCATAGCAAAGGCTTTGAAAACTGAACTGACACTGAAACCATCACTCACATAAAATGATACAAAATTTGCACTCTGAACTTAGCTACGCTGATTGCATGCAAAAATATAAAATACATTTGCCAGAGAACTTTAATACCACTGAGAATTTTTCCCTGTAATATTGAAAATGTATCAGATACAATTCTAATTTACCCAATAAACAAAGACCTGAAAATATGATAAACTCTCAAGGAAACAGATAACCAACAGATGGCAATCTCATGATGAGAGAGATGTTGGAATTTTCAGAAAGAGGCTTTACTACAGCTACTATTAACTATGGTTAATAAGGTAAAGATAAACAAACTTGAAAGGAGTGGAAAATGAGAGTATTATAAAGATCAACAAGCAGTTAAGAGCCAACTGGAAATGTTAGAAAATTACAGTATCTTAAATTTTAAAAATTATGAATGGGGCTAAAGAGCAGGATGGGAATGACAAAGCAAATATTCAGTGAATCTGAAGGTAGATAAATAGAAATTCAATCTGAAAAAGAGAAAGAAAAAAAATGTTGAAAGAATAGACAGAGCCTCTGACAACTGTGGGATGACATCAATAGCTCTAACATTCACGCAACTGGTGTCCCTGAAGAAGAGAAGAAATTTAGTGAAGTCAATATCTCAAGAACTAAGGGCCAAACATTTTTCAAATTTTGTGAAAGACAAATTTACCAATTCAAGAAGCTTGTGTATAAAACTTTTAAAACATTCACAGGATCTGTATAATGAAAAGTACAGTACTGATAAAAAAAATCAAAAAAGACCTAAAATAGTAAGTAAAAATGGAGAGACATATAATGTTCATGGTTTGAAATGCCCAGCATATTAAAGATGTCAGTTCTTTGATCTATAGATTCAATGTAAGCCCTATTAAAATCCCAAGAAGATTTTTGTGTATATATTTACAGGCTTATGTTAAAATTTACGTGGAAACACAAAGGACTTAAGAATGGCTAAAACAGTTTCAGAAAAGAAACATCAAACTGGGGGCGCCTGGGTGGCTCAGTTGTTAAGTGTCTGCCTTCTGCTCAGGTCATTATCCCAGCGTCCTGGGATCGAGCCCCGCATTGGGCTTTCTGCTCGGCGGGAAGCCTGCTTCTCCCTCTCCCACTCCCCCTGCTTGTGTTCCCTCTCTCGCTGTGCCTCTCTCTGTCAAATAAATAAAATCTTTTAAAAAAAGAAACATCAAACTGGAAGAAACATACTATCCATTTTTCAGACTTATTCAGTATCTACAGCAATCAATACAATAGCAAATCAATATCGAGACACACAGATCAGTGGAACTTGAAATAGGGAACATGGAAATAGACCCACACAAATGTGATTAGGTGATTTTTGGCCAAGATTACAAAAGTAATTTCGTTGTGGAAGAATAGCCCTTTTTTTTTTTTAAGTACTAAAGGTACTATTCATAAAAGAAAATAGTTGATGTATTCGGCTTCATAAAAATTGGAACTTTTGCTAGGCCTAAGACCCTGTTAAGAGGATAAAAAGACTAGTTACCAGATGGAAGAAAATATTTGTAAATCACATATCCAACAGGTAATTGAGATCTAAAACATACAAATCACTCTCCAAATAATAAAACAATCTAATTTAAAAATAGGTAAAAGACTTACACACACAGTTCACAAAAGAGAGTATTCAAATGACAAGTACATGAAAAGATGTTCAGCATCCTTAGTCATAAGAAAACGCAAATTAAAACCACAAAATACTACTGCATATCTTTTAAAATGGCTTAAAAATACTTGTATCTATACTTACATTATACTAATACTTATACAGTAACACTCTTAGGCATTTACACTAAGAGGAAACCTGATATCCACATAAAAACCTTTGCACTAATGTCACAGATTTATAGTCACCAATAACTTGAAATGACCAAGTACCTTAGAACATGGGATGTGTTGCAATGCTCTACAATTAAATGGAATACTCTTCAGCAATACAAGTAATGAAGTATCAATGTACTCAAACATCTTGGCTGGATCTTAAGAAAATTATGCTTAGTGGAAAAAGCCAATCTCAGAAGTTGACATACAGCATGATTCCATTTCTATAAAAGCTGTGAAATGAAAACCTTACAGAGGTGGAGAACAGAAGTGGCTGTCAGGTGTTGGGGCAAGGGAGGATGGGTGTGTCCATAAAGAGCAGCTCGGAGAAGTTGCAATGATTGTGGATTGCAATGAATGTGTATATAATTCTATACAGGGCTTAAGATGTCAAAGAATTATACATAAAAGCAGACAAAAAATGAGCGCACGCAAAAATAGTGACATCTGAGTAAGGTCTGCAACGTGCTTTGTTGTTTTGTTCCAATCAATTTCCTTTGTTTGGTAATGAACCATAATTATGTTGAAGAAAGTGGGCTGATGGGTACATGGGACTTCTCTGGAGTCTTTGTGCAATTTCTTGTGAGTTTATATCAAAATTTAAAAGATTTTTTAAAAAGCTCAGCATATCTCAAACAATTAAAAAAAAAAAAGAAAACCTACCCAGACACATCCTAATCAAACTACTGATAATCAAAGGTAAAGAAAGTAAATACCAAAAATGAATGAACATTTTGAATAACTAAGTTAGGTGCTTTTACCTGTATCTGATTACCCTCCCCAGTACTATTTCTTTAGGTATCATGATGTCCATTTTTAAGACAGAGAACTGACTCAGAAAGTGTGCAAATTTGCTAAGTGGCAGTAAGAGGTTTAATCTAGTTTGACTGCTTTGAAGTCCAATAATTTTGCTTATACGACCAATCATTATTCATGCACCTTTCTAATTAATCAAGGATATAGTGCACCTACTGAGTGTAAGTATATCCCTTACTGTTTCAGTATAAAGTCAGAGGAATGTAATGTTATTTCTTTCTAGGCCATATCGTTTCAACTATTAAAATGGAAGAAATGATCATATTGAAGCTAATTTGCATCAATTAAGGGACATTAGGTTTCAAACAACAGTAAATGACTCAGGTTAATGGAAGCAAAACAAGAATTTATTGAAGGGTTAGTGGGGATGCTTAGCATATTAAAGTAATAATTAAAACAGCCAGGTCTTCCAAAAAAGAGGAATTGAAGCAAGTCCAGCAGTAGAGGCTCACAGACGTTAACTTGAGTTGCAGACAAAGGATAACTCACCAGGAATCCACCCAGTCTCTAGCTCCTGTTTTAATTTTCCAAGCTATTAATCAGTACAGATTGTTCCAACACAGACCGATGTTTACCCCTAGGTGAATCATGGAAGCCAAGTAGTCTAGTAAGGACTTCACTTGGCTAGTCTGACTTACTTACACATATATGTGGCCAGAAAGTAGAGACTCTTATCAAAAGAAGGAGGAAAAAGAAGTAGGCAGATGAAAGCAAAAGCAACTATACTCCATCTCTTGGTTTCAATGACACACAGGTGCACATAAGCTTCTTATATGTACATATCCATGGGGACAACTTCAAGATAATCATGAATTCCCAGCATTCCTTGGGCTCCTCATTCATTGCAGTCAATGATCATCACAGCTTCTCCGAGGCTGCTCTTTATGGACACACCCATCCTCCCTTGCCCCAACACCTGACAGCCACTTCTGTTCTCCACCTCTGTAAGGTTTTCATTTCACAAATTTTATAGAAATGGAATCATGCTGTATGTCCTATATATATATATACACACACAAACCTGTATATACCTGTGTAAATACATGTTTCCCAAATGCCATATAGCAGTTATGAGCTTTAATAATTTCAGAAGTGCAAAGCTAAAAATTATAAATGATACCATTTGAAAGTTGAACTATTTTAATTTTCCTTATATAGTTTTGTGAACTATAAAGAACACTTTAAAATTTGTTTCTGTCCCTCTGATTGAAGATGGCAGAGTGACAAATTAAAATTTATCTTTGAAAATACACAATTTACGTGTAAGTGATATGCAAATAATTCAACATGTGAATTATATTTTTCAAAACTTGGTATCTTTTATGCTTCTAAAATTAAGCTTAAAGCTGCATTAACGACTTTTGCAACACCCTTGTGTACATGTATCTGATCATCCCTGATGATTTATTACACATTCCATCCTCATTCCTATGACTGTGTAAGAAGTTTTTGCACACCTATGTGTGCATAAGCCCAGAGAAGCCAAGTGGCGGGGAGGGGTTCTTTGCTTTTGTTTCATTTGTGCAATAGCGTTTCCTCTCTCAATAATGTCTATCCACCAGCCAAATAACCGTGCAAGTGAGTCTATCAGAGAAAGATATGGAGAAAGGTATATGTTCATATAAAGAAAAGGATATAGAAAAATAAGTAAAATTGTTAACAGACTACAGTGGAGGAAATGTGTAGGTGCAAGTGTAGGGGAAGAAGGGTATGGATTACAATCTGGACCATTGATATTTGGAGTGTTCAGGCACATGTTCATGGATAGAAGATGTGGGGGAATGAAGAGCAATAGCCGGGCTGGAGAGTAAGACTCTGAGCCAGGTGTTCAAACCTACAGTAAACACGAGGGACTCAAGAAGCTACAAGTAGAAGTCAAATTGGGGAAAGAAAAATATTCTTTTAGATCCTCTGTCAAGCTAGCAATCTCCTCCCCTGAGTCCTGCCAAGCTGTCATCAATCTTCTGTTCCACTGGTGAAAGCTCTAGGTAGGAGACATGTGCTGATCACAGTTCTAACATCTCTCTACCTATACTGCCCTCTTCCCCATCAGGCAATCTCGCAGGAATTTTCAGTGGTGCCTGACTCCTGGCAGGGTGAGGAAGGGTCAGCAAAAGCAGGAGTTTTTCCACAGGGCTCCTGAGTGCCCAATATTCCCAGCATTCCTTGGGCTCCTCACGGCTCTATGTGGATATTTTCTCCAGAGCTGGGCACCACAGTTTACCAGATTAACTGGGAGCAGCTGCAGAATATCAGGTACATTCATCTTCAGCCAGCCATCCCTTGATGCTGGGGGGCTCATGAGAACTGCTGTGCTCCCATAAGACTGCAGGAATGTGCTGGACACCATCATTTGAAATCTTTGGGCCAATGGGTCTGTGTTGCTGAGAGAAAACCAAAACAGAGATCCATTCAATGAGGAAGGCAGCTTTTCTTATTTTAGTGATAAATGTTCATTCTACATGATTCAAAAAATTCAGGGCAATTCCTAGGTTCCATTCTGACTTTTGGAGCCTGGAAGAAGAGCCCATCCTTTGTCCCGTTAACTAAAAAGACACACTCTAGTCATTGTAGTACAAAGCTGGCTTTGCAATGTCTTTGCAGCTTCATCTATGTTTAACCCCTCTACTGATCCCTTAGAACAAGGCACATGATGCTGTAACAAAAATGAACAATAAGATGTGGGAACTGTGAACCTTCTTAAAAGAATATGAGGATCCTCCAGGAAGCAACACATTAAAAGTTGCCAGAGAGTATACCAATTTTCCACAGTTTGGCTTAGTGTGAGGGAGTTAAAACAGGTGATCTGTGTAAGGGGATGTAAATTCCTTATGGGATTAGTCTGATTGTGTGAAGGAGTGAAGGCAGGAGGGCATACCTGCGCCATGCTATTAGAGAATGGGAAGGTTAATGAGGAATGAAGCCATGTCCAAAAGTAAAAGGAAGGAGAAATGGGACCTGTCAGTTAAACATCTGACTCCTGATTTCGGCTCAGGTCATCTTTTCAGGGTCATGAGATTGAGGCCTGCATCAGACCCCTCTGGGTGGGGAGCCTGCTTAAGATTCTTTCTCTCCCTCTGCCCCTTCCCCCTGCTTGCTCTCGCTCTAAAAAAAAAAAAGGTGCCAGAAATGGTCCATGGCGGAAGGGTAGCCTCTAACCCTCTCTTTCTCCAGTTGCATCTGACACTTTAAAGGAAGCAGCCAGAACTACTGGCTCCTAGTACATATTAAGGGTGGAAAAAAAGGAGTCCTCTGGTTGTTTCTTTCTAGTGGCTGTAACTCCCCAGGAGGTTCTTCTGGGTATGAAACTCACGACATGACATCTGAGATTTCACTCTCACTCAGGATAAGGGCAGGACTAGGACTAGCCTGCATACCAACCCTTCCTCCAGGAGAGAAAGTTTGTCTCTGCTTAGCCCTGCACCTTTTGAAAGGGAGGCAGGCCAAGGGATGTGACTCTCATGACATTTGGTTTATCTGGGAATGATGGGCCTGGGCTTCTCTGTCCTACTGAACTACTACTCAGGTCTTTACTCCTGTCTCCTCAAAGGGCATAGAGAGGAAGCACTCTCATTAATTTGTCATTAAGCAAGCATTCTACCTCCAAGTATGTATTCCTCTGAAGGAAATTATTCATCAGTTATTATGGAGCCTTGGGAGGCATCTCTGGCAGATGCCATCTTGTCTTAGAATCCTGAGTCCCAAGAATCCTTGAGGTGTTCTCCTTACCCCTAGGGCCCTCACCTCTTCTACAATCCGACCCCCAGCAGTTTCTCCTTCCAATGAGTCTCCTTTTTTCAGTGTAATCGTGGAGATGATATGCTGGTGTTCACTGCTCTTTAGTTTGCATGAGACCATCTTGCTGTTCTGTATGGTGTGCACTGCCTTCTCCCTCCTTCTTGGGACAGCAATGGAGAGAATTGAAAGGGGTTCTCTGCTCCTAGTGGTGGTGTGCTGGGAGTGGTGGTGGTGGGAGATGTGCATAAATAAAGGTGGGTCCTACGGCTGCTTAGAGAAGATACAGCCCCCTCAGTAGAGTCTGGCCTACTCTACTGCTTCTCTTGTAGGGGCTAAAAAAAAGTCTGTTTATTTGTATGAAGACAACTTCATGCCAAAATGTTTCTCTTTCTGGCATCTATATGTTGTCTTCTTGGTATTCTTCGTCTGCCTACTCTTCTCCTTTTCTCCCCTGTTCTTGTTCTTCAGCCAAGTCAAGGCCATATGGAAGGTATGGCAGCTGAAGCCCTCACTGACCCCATGCTGCACATGCTCCTGGAGGGCCTCTAAGCTGGGAAAGACCCGGCAGCAGGCCATGCACCTGAAGCCACTATCCAGGGCCACGAGCCATTCAGGTGTCTTGGCTCTGGAACACTCCTCCACAAGTGGAGGCTCTGCTGGACAATCAGCCTCCTCCTTTTCCTCTTGGGCTTCATTATTCCAGCTGGACTCACTGTCAGTTAGAAGTTCCTTCGTACATACATGAGAGGGGGTGACTTCTTCCTGGATCTTTTCAGGAAAGGTCATTTCTTCTATTTTTGTCTTCTTGGAGGGAGGCTCCAGCCCTTCCTTTGTATCACATAAGACAGCCACCCCCCTTTTCATTTGGACATGCATGTAGTAAACTTTCATGAGCTCTTCCTCTTCCGTGTGTACTGAGGACACAGAGGGCGTAGGATCATGAACCAAATGGAATGGAAAGGAGGTATGTGGAAAGGGGGAGGAAGTCCCACATTCCTCGGAGTGTCCAACACAAGAAACATCCTGGTGTGTTTGAGGGACTCCTAGGAAAGAAAATTTCAAACATAAGACAGAGTAAGTATGCGATGTCTGGAGGAGACAAGATGGCCATGAGAATACTCCTATGCAGATGTGTGGAGCAGAAGTATATATACAAGTGATATTTCAGAATTCTGTGAGTGCTATGTTTTATTTGAGGTGTGTACATGGTGTAACTATGTGGGAATGAGGGTGTGGTGTATCTTGTGGAGTTGCATCTGTGTTTTGGGACACATCTGGTGAGTGGTCTTTTTTTAATATTTTATTTAAGAGACAGAGGAGGAGTGGAGGGAGAGGGACAAGGAGACTCTGCTGGGTGTGGAGCCTGATAAGGGGCTCGATCTCATGACCCTGAGATCATGACCTGAGCCAAAACCAAGAATCAGCCACTCAAATGACTGAGTCACCCAGGCACCCCTGGTGAGTGTTTCTGATGTTGGTGTAAGGTGACGGTGAATGAGTGTGTGCATGTGTATTACACAGTGTGACAGTGCATGTGAATAAGTGCAGGAGTGGTGTGTTTCTTGTCATGAGACAAGAGGACTTAGAGTGTTAGCAGAAGTGACCCGAGCTCCTGGAACGTGCAACTCTGTGAAGTGCCGATGTCTTTGTGCGTGAAGTGGCATGTGGATGAGGAAGACTCTATATGAAAGTCCATCCTCCTCAGGGTATACGAATTTTCCACAGTTTGGCTTAGTGTGAGGGAGTTAAAACAGGTGATCTGTGTGAGGGGATATAAATTCCTTATGGGATTAGTCTGATTGTGTGAAGGAGTGAAGGTAGGAGGGCATATCCGCACCATGCTACTAGAGAATGGGAAGGTTAATGAGGAATGAAGCCATGTCCAAAAGTAAAAGGATGGAGAAATGGGACCATAACTGGAAGGGAGACAGATGCAGGAGTGGGTGTGAGGATATGAGTTCATGCTCATCTTAGGGAGAAAGGTGTGATGAAATGCCCACACCAGCATGGTGCTCTACCTGACCCGCAGCTATCCCAGTGCTCATATGAGTAACTGGGTCCTATCCTTGAAGGCACACTCTCTTTCTGTCCCTCTGCAGAGGCTTCAGTCTTAGTGCCTCTGCTCTGAAGTCTTTTTCTGCTTTTAAGTGGAGAGTTAAATAAGTAGGGCTTGGGCTGAGCAGCTCAGTTGTACCTCCTATCCATGCTCAGACCCTACCTATGTATTTCCCTTACCACCCTCTTTAGCAGGAATGAGCTTAGATATGGAGGAGACACATGTGAAGTATTCTGAGGCAGAGGAGTTTTCTCCTGCTGTCTCACTGCTTGGAGGGACCACCACAGATGATTCAGGCTGAGGCACATCCTCTTGACTCTTCCAGAATTCTGGCAAATGGAATGAAAACAAAACAAGACATTGAGATGCAGCATTTTCTGGAATCTGTGTCCATTCAAAAGAGCCACATTGAGTGGACATTAGAAGTTAGACATCATTACCACACATAAGACTTGCTCTCATAGAAATTAAGGTGATTTTCTCAGTTGAAACTCTACAATTTCAAGGTGACTTTACCTTTTAAAACTTTCCTTACTGAAAATATAAGTAAATAACAATTATTAAAATTGTATTTATGGTGGATGCGCATAATACTGAATATCTTGCATGTGAGATTTTTGGAGATGTGTAGAGAATACTGAACACTTAGAAATAACTTTGCCTGTAACAATATGCAGTCACTCAAGTTGGATATTCTGACCTTGATTTTCCTCATGAGAAACTGTGCAATTAGGGGGCATGGGGTGCAAATTTTATCCAGAATTCTGCATGTGTATCTATCTACTTCTTTATCGATATCTATCTATACACACACACACACACACACACACACACACACACACACATATATATAGAGAGAGAGAGAGAAGAGATACATGATAGATGATAAGCAGAAAGACAGATATAAAGATATATAGATAAAATAAATTTTCAGGGTTTCTAGGGAACCCTGGTGCTGGAGATGTTCAAAATTAAGACTTCACAGACTCGGCCAAACTCTTCTGGAAATGTATTTCTGCATTTTTCTTAGATTTTTCATCTTCCCATTCAGATCCTTTAAGAGCTTCTTCCAAAAAAGACAGGGATGCTGACATGGTGCATTTCTGCCTATCAATTAAAAACAGAGACCTTGGGCAGTCCTTGAGTGGAAGGGTCATTTATGGCCATTGCTGAGCACTGGCACTGAATTCTAATTTTTGGCTAACATGCTGCCTCACCTCCCTGCCTGATTCCCCCTCAGCCTCTCCTCTCCCCCACCACATACCACTGTGAATGAGCTTGTCTGCAGAAGAGACACAATTTGAGTCTGAATCCTCTGCTGTCTGGCCATGGCCTTGGGCCAACCCAGAGGGTCCAGGAGGTGGAATGTCTTCATCTGTGTTTAAGACTTCTGGGAAAGAGAAGGAAAATCAGATAGATGGTATTTTTTGCCTTCACTAAACATTCAAGAAATACTATGTATAATAATGCATACAGCACTTGTCCCCATGAAGATTATAGTCTAGTTTCTGTTCAAAGTTCTAAAACCTAGGTATCAAAATATTTGCTGGAATCAATTGTCTGGTTACCAATGAGAGCCTTATGTTGTTTTCTGCCGTGGATCAGAGGCTCAAATTCTTGCCTGGTACATGGTGATGTGCCTGTATTATCACTACTCTGTTTACTGTAAGAATAAATTTGGAGCATGTCAGTAAAGGTCTTCAGTCTGCTAGCTGTGGTTTATGATATGAAAAGTCCTGTTACTTCCTGGAAGGGTTAGAATTTACAGGAAAGAACTGACTGACCTCACTGTTGGTCCTTTGTCTCCTTTTCCAGATACCTGCTCCCGTGGGACCTCACCTGAGGGCTCTGCTGCACAGCTCTGCAGGACCAGGAGACTCCAGCGGGATCCCCAAGGCTGACTTCAGACCACACCTCCCAACACTGGGCACAGCTCCCCCATGAGGAGCTACTGATTGCCAAACGGCTCAGCTGTCACTTGGCCCAGTCGGTGGTGTCACCCTCCTCACATTCCCCACACACTGTTCTTTTTTTTTTTTTTTTAAAGATTTTATTTATTTATTTGAAAGAGAGAATGAGATAGAGCATGAGAGGGGAGATGGTCAGAGGGAGAAGCAGACTCCCCGCCGAGCAGGGAGCCCGATGCGGGACTCGATCCCGGGACTCCAGGATCATGACCCGAGCCGAAGGCAGTCACCCAACCAAATGAACCACCCAGGTGCCCCCCCCCACACTGTTCTGATCAATTTTTGCATCTATACTTACCATACTCATAAGCTTACCTTTAAACCTTCCCAATTAACAGCTACATTCTAGGCTGTTGGTTATTTTCCTAGTAAAATATGTGCACTTCTGGGATTATCTCTACCTCTACCATGAATCTAAACATATTACAAAAATTGCCAGTTAGTTTTTCTTCCTCCTAATCTACAGTTCCAAACTCAACTTTCAGGAAATAGGTAAATTTTTGTTCCTGATAAAATAACTCAAACATATTAAGTCTCTTCCTGGGTTTAAAAACTTCAGTTAAGCTTATAACCCAATTTTTACTCCACAAAATGCATCTGCTTAGTCTCTTAGGTCACTGGAGAGTGTTGGGTAGGTCATGTTGGTATAGGGATGAAGACAAGTCAGTGAGGGTGGTATATTTTCTAGAAACTTAGTATGTGTACCATGTTTGGTGAATACAGCCTGATGTGTATATGTGTCTGTCATGTTTCCTCAACAATTTTATGCAGAGAGTGCAGGGGTGACATGGTCATTGTATGTGAAGGTGGCGTGAGCATCATGTGTTGGGTAACACTGCAGCATCCTTCCGTAGGTGTATAGGCAGTACATCTTCCCTGTGTTACGAACCATCTGTGTGTCACGTACTACTCAAGTTTACGTAGTTACACAATATATATTTGGTTTGTGAGAGAGATATGGACCTGGGTAATTTTGTGGTATCTGCTGAGATCATGAAAGCGGTACAAACCAACCATGTGAAGGATGGATGCGAGACCTCATGTGAGCTCCTAGATTGTGGAATTACATGTGGCCTAAGAGACTGGAAACAGATGAGTTTTACAAAATGTTGCATGATTGTATTGGCTTCGTGCATTGTTAATGTGAAATTACAAAGTTCTACAAGAGTGAGATTATTTGTGAGTTCAAGATTAGAGTATCTAAGGAAGGACGTTAGAGAAAGCAAACATGAGGAATGCATATGCTGCAAAATGAGATGTAAAGGTTCAAGACATGAGGATCTAAGCTTATTAGTGTGTCTGAGAGTGGGTCCATAGGCCATATTTTAGACTTCTGACTCTAGAACTATAACAGAATACATTTTTGTTGTCTTTAATCCACTAAGTTTGTGGTAATTTGTTAAAGTATTTGATAGCCGATATTAACCTTAAACTATGGCTCTCCACATACTCTGGACTGACGGGGGACTTTACAAATGGGTAGGCTCTATTTACCCAATTTCCTTTCTTTTCTGAGTGCAGAGTTGCTTGAGTCAATGGTGCTACCCACTCTTTGTGCGAAATAAGGAGCCTAGAACACTTGAACTCCCAGACACATTATATGTGACTGTCATCTAGTACTTCAGTTACTCCTGTTTTGTTGATCATCACTCAATTAGTGATTACTGGTTTGGGTGTGTAAATCATCAAAACCTACCTACATTCAATCATAGATTTCTCAGCTCACCTTTTGTTCCTGTGTTCCATTTCATCTTTCTGAATAGATTCGGTGTTTTTAGCTTTTTATATTTTATTTTTTCTACTTTTTATCTGACGAATGTCTTTTTTTCACGCTCATTCTTTATGTGACTGTTCTTTTCCTTCAGCACATTATGTCATACTGTCATTAGGTTTCTACAATTGCTGTCTGACAAATCACCATTCTTTTGAAGGATGGTGTGCTTCTCTTCAGTTGCTTTAAGGTCTTTGTTATTAAGGTTCTGAATGTTGGTTTTAGTGTACTTGGGTGTGGATTTATTTTTGCCTTTCCTGTAATGAGCTTCCTAATAATGCTTCCTGACTCTAAGGATTTGTATCTTCCACTGTTCTGAAAAAAATTGGCAATAATCTGTCTTACTTTCTTTGTTTTACTCTTCACAAACCTCAGTTTGAGATGTCATACTTTCACATTTTACCCTAAATTATCTTAATCCCTCTTTCATATTTCCCATCTGTTGATCTCTCTGGTTTATATTTGTAGGTAATTCCCTAGCTCTATCCTTCTGGTCGCAAATTTTCTTTTCATCTGTGTCGAATGTGACATTGAACTCATCCACATTTTTTATAATTTCTAGAACATTATTTTTCATTTCTAAAACTTCAGGTTTTTTTAATCTTCTTTTTTCTTGGTAGTGTTTTATGTTTTTACATCTTTAATAACTGTAAACATTCTTATTTACCATCCCTACAGCACTGTTCAATTAAATGATCTTCTTCGAAGCTAAAACTTAGTGTTCACTGTGTTTGCAGAATCTACCTTAGATTATATGCTTTGTAATATTGTGTGTTCATGTTCAGTAAGTCATTACCACAGGACCCTTTAACACGGATAACTATCAACTCAGAGCTCTTTTACATTTTGTGCGGTCAGATATTTCTGCAGTACTACAAGCTATGGTTTAATTTTACGTTAATTCTTCACTTGCAGGTTTAACTGACACCACAGCAATTGTGGATACTGTGGCTATGAATTCCACTTCTTCCCTCAATAAATGATATTTTCCCCCAAATGTATGCATAGAGTTTCTCTCTACCACCTAAAAGTGAAAACTGTTTGTAATGAGTTCCTATCGAGGGTACAGAAACAAGAGACCCATATTCCCAAATAAGAGAGGAGGGTACGATTGTAACTGGGCCCAATGTGCACCTTTCTCCCACTGGCTGAGGACAGATGTTGAGCTGGATGTCTATAGGTCTGTTCAGATTCCCACTTCCCTCATCGGCCTAGACTTTAAATGCCCTTCCTTTATCCTTACCAGCAGAAGAGAGATGATACAAGGAGGAGTAACAGGAGAAGTATTCCGATTCAGAGGATCCACTTCTTGCCTCAGAGACCAGAGGACTGTCTTCCAAAGAGCAGCCACGTGGTGGATCACATGTCCATAACTTTGATACCCCTAAAAAATTGAACAAAAGTCATAAAAACAGCTGGTTCCATTCTTTTCCCCTCTTACACTCTTCTCCCTAACCTACTCTCCCCACTGCCCCCCATGGAAATACTTACTTTATCCTAAATAGTTATCTTTAGTTTGGGCAGAGAATTGGCATATTTCAGTATCCTGTTCTTCAATCTGGATCCTGCTACCATGGCTCCTGATATTCATTCACCTTGGTTAGGATTTTCAGTACCATTTGCCTTCCTTTACATTTGTTACACTTCTACCCTCTGCATTCTACCTCCTAGAGATTTATAACCTCAAAGGAGACAATTGATGAAGTTTTATTTTTGAAGAACATATTCTTTATTATGAAGTTAGTGTCTCTGTTGCCATGTTAACCAAGCTCACTGCTCACTAGTTAACTGTTTAATATTATCATCATCTCCTATGGATGTGTCCAATATGTGTATTAGGCACCTATTGTAGCATAATGGTGTGATGGATGCAATGTTCTTTGTGTGTATAAGTTCCTAACATGTTGGTTAAAACAGGGCCAGGGCTTAATGTGTAATTGATTTGGTGTTTGTGAATCTGAATATGAGGTGCATTCTGTGTGAGTGAGAATGGTATGCGTGCTTTGTGTGTTTTAGTTTAGCACATATCCATGTGTGTAGATTCCATGTCCTGTGACTACGGATTTGGGTGTTTATATGTTGTTATAGGATTTAGATGTACCAGATAAGTACTAGGAATATTCTCTTTGAGACTAGAATTGGTATTTGTGACATCTAAGGGAATAATGAAAGAACATTAGAGAATGTAAAAGTCAAAAGTTGTAAGAGAAAGAATATATGAGCTTTGAGACTATGTGAAGATCCAAAGTAAATGGGGGTGTAGAGAAGACTGTAAGAGTTTTATATATATATAAATGCGTGTGTGTGTGTATTAGATAAATTTCACAGATTTAGTGATGAGTGAAAGGAACCAGACACAAACTATCATTGTATGCTTCTATGAAATTTAAAAACAGGGATAACTAATCTAGAGTTTTAGAAGTCAGAGAAATTATCACAGTTTTTATGGTAGGGACAAAAACAAGTCATAGAAAATTTAGAAGCATGTGGAAGATTATAAGGAATTGAATGATGAGGATAAAGAGTGCAGAGGGTCTGTATAGGGATGAATGTCAGAACACAGGCTATCAAAATATATGAAAGGGATGGATCTTGGACTGGATGTCTCTGTACTCCATCTCAAGTCCAGCTCTTGAGGATCCAACCATTTCTGGCCTATTTCAAGCTGTTGGTACTTTCATGCCTTCCTGATGACATAAATGCTTTTGCTGGTTCATACTGACATACCCTTCCATGCTTCTCTGGTAAAATTCTCATACCCAGACCCTCTCCCACCATTTCCTCAAAAAAACACTGCTCTCCGCTGATCTTTTTGGGATCACTCCAGTCCTTTTAAGGATTTTTCCCTGGCAAGTGATAGTTTCTGCTGATCATGGAAGAAGACAGAGACACAGTTTGAGTTTCTTTCCATATTGGGCAGCCTTGTATCAACTGATGGTCAGAATCATTCAGTTCATCTCTGGCCCCTGCCTAGATCCCAATTTATTCAATACACTCTCCTTACCAGCAACATTGAGCTTCTCTTCTGAAGACATGCAGAAGTACTCTGAGGAAGATGATGACGCCCTCCATGCTGCCTGGGCTGAAGCTGAGGCCACTGCCTTGTGTTTACACTGCAGATCTTCTTGTAAATTCAGATTTGCTGGGAAATTACATAAAAATAATAGAGATGTGGTCTATGTTTAGTGTTTGTGCATTTACCCACCCATTAAGCAAACAAGAAGGGTCTACTATGTGACACGTTTGTTGAACACACATGGCCTCCATTTTCATGAAGAGCATAATATGGTTCATTTATTGTGTTTATATCAGGAGTAGCTGGGTTTGTACAAGGTGTGTTCTTTGTAAATGGAGCAGAAAGTGCAAGTTATCCCCTTTCTACCTGGACATACTACTAGATTGTATTTATCCGCATCTCTTGTGGCAGTTCTGACCATGTGCTTGTTTTCTAAAATGGAAAATGAGTGGAAATGACATGTGCCACTTCCAGACAGAATCATAAACCCCTCCTCTGTGTCTCTCCACACTCTTCACTTTTCCAGATGACTGGGATATTGATAACCCAGGGTCTACCTGAAAGCTCATGTTAATGACAGCTAAGTTTCCATAAGCCCAGGAGACTCGCCACACTCCTTTCATATACCCTGAATTGTTACGAAAGAAATAGATTTATTTGTGTATTACTTACAAAGACCAAATCTACTCTAGCTAATGAAATAGGGATGTAATGTGTTTTTGAGAGGCAAATAATTGGACCTGGTACAGAGTAAATGGGACAATTATATTTGACGATAATTACCTTTTCCTGGCAAATTTACATTCTGTATGTGCATCTATGTGAACACATGGTTGTGAGTGCGTGTTTTACTGGTCTCATACTTTACACTCAATAACAACTCTCAACATGCACTAATTTTATTGAAGGTAAAATGCAGACAACCTCACTTTCCAGGCCTGTCTGCCCAGAAGCCCCCAACATTGTTGGAAATACCAAGTTATCATTTGGAGTAGGAGCCACCATTTGGAATTTTGGGGTTAGCTGTAATCTGTTCAGACCACTGAACAATGGTCTGACTCATAGAAGTTACTTGTTTACTTTTAATCTCCATAGTAACCGGAACTCTTTCAGTTTTTCATTTTTTCAGAAAGAAACAAACTATCCCCTCAATTTAACCATTAAACAGTGGTGTGTGTGTATTCTGCCTTTTCCTTGCATTTCACATAGGAGCCCCACACTTAGGTTCTCATCGTCTGAGACGAAACAATTCTTTTTTGCTCCTGCGTAAGTAAATTCTGACCTTATACTCTCATCCCTGTACAACCAGTTTTTTTTTTTTTTTAAGATTTTTTATTTATTTATTTGACAGAGAGAGACACAGAGAGAGAGGAAACACAAGCAGGGGGAGTGGGAGAGGGA